CGACTCGTTCATTTTACTGTTCGAGAGTCAAAGATTCGAATCAATAAAAAGAGTCGGTCTTCCCATCACTAGTTGACAGTGTGGCCGGATCTCAATCCCGCAGTGGCGCCGTTCCGCTTAAGCCCGACCGACTCGCCCACCGCCCTCCCCCCACGACGGGCTGCGGAGCGAGGGAAGGGGCGGCGCCCAGCTCCGGCAGAGGCAAAAGGGAGCATGCCACAAGCGTGCCCCAGGGGCCGCTGTTTACCCGTGCTGCGGACCAAGGATCCAGTACGATCCTTTCTCTGGAGGGAAGTTAATTAAATACAAATTTATTACGAGCAGTGAAGGACAAATTAAATTATAAGGAGACTAGAACGGCTACAATTTGTCAACTAATTCCACTAATGAAAATTAATTGGATGGCGCTTTGGCCCAGAGGCAATGTCTCTGTCATTGGTGTGGACCTCATTGGTCATTGGTGTTCACCTCCTGGGTAAGATCAAATCCCAGTTAGGGTGGTTGGTACCTTCCAGTGGACTCACCACCTGCAGGAAGGTGTAGGGGGGGTGGTATGGTGCAGTGTGGTTTGGGTGGCGACAGCTGCCCCGCGACCCGGTAACGGATAAGCGGATGAAAATGGATGGATGGATGGATGGATGGAAAATTAATTGGCTATTAATTGGTGATTAAATTAACATTCGTTGTAACCCATCAAGGGGAGCATCTGGATGTGAGCAGTGAAACGTAACACTTTAAGGACAGATTTCTTCCAGCTTTATTTCATGGACCTGATTCATTTAGTCAAAATATTTCATTTGGTCAATATTTATTAATTACTTATTTAATATTACCACATCATTAAAGTCATTAAACCTTAAAGTTATAGTTTTGATACTGTTAACCAAATGTAATACCTGGTTGGAAGAAAGGCCAAATTATATCAACTGTGTTTTGTATCAGGAATTGTTTATTTTTGTACTTATTACTACAGTACTTAAAACATCATACACTGCTCTACTGCTGTTTAAATAGTCAAAATGTTTTGTGCCGCTTCTCCACACTGTTTTGGTGTGCTGGTAGAATGTGGAAAACATTTATTTTATTGGTGAAGGTTTCAGACCCTTCGACGTAAAATTTCTACAAAAATACCTGTGCATTAAATGTCTCCTGATTTAGAATGGACTGCATTTGGAAACAAATTCAATGTTTTCCAAAGAGTAACAAAATGTATATGACATAAGCTCAATAACAATTCAGATATTTCTTTGTTGCTCTGTTCCTGCACAGGGATCTGAGCGTAGATGCTGGGCTGCCCCCACACCAGTATCACATCCATCCACTGCCACAGCACTATCAGCACTACTTGACCTCTCCTAGGATGCACCACTTCCCTCGAAACAATGCCTCAACACAAGTGGTGAGCTTCCTCTTTCTTTGTATACCATCAATCACGCTTGTCTCGTTGAACTCTGGCTTTCTGAAATTATTCTCGGTGCCTGGCAACCAGAATAAGCTGGGTCCTCTTCTTGCCTAATTACTGCTGCAGAGCTGACTCCTGCTCTTTTATTTGTCATCTTTCAGGTTGTCCATGAGATCAGAAATTACCCATATCCCCAGCTGCACTTGCTGGCTCTGCAGAGTCTCAACCCTGCCCGCCATGTGTCTGCTGTTAGAGAGAGCTACGAGGTTTGTGCCTCCGTCTCTCTGACTCTCTCTCTCTCTCTCTCCCTCTCCCTCTTCCTCCCTCCTCTCACACCGGTCTGTCTTTGTGGCCAATGTGCAGCACAGGTCTGCGTATGTATCTGACTGTCCCATTTGTATTTACCCCATAATACCTTGTGTTGGCCGTGTGTTTTCATTTGGAGAAGTCAGAATTCTCTATCATCTTTCACTGTGTACATGTAGTCTACATCTGCAAATCATCTGAATATTTAATGACAAATTCCAGTTCTGCTTGTTATCCGAGGCAAACACAAACATACAACCTCTATCCTGCCCCCTCCCCCATCCATTTAACCCGACCGACATGCCAAAGTAATACTATATTACATTCTGTTAAGGAGCTTCTACAGCTGGAGGACAGGCTGGGCAGTGTGCACCGTGGCGCAGTCCAAACCACCATAGAGAGATTCACCTTCTCACACAAGTACAAAAAGGTAAAGTAGTTTTCCCATATAATTAATGTACTCACAATGGAGTAGTACTGATGAAGCACAGCACCAAAACCAAGAAATAAACAGATATTTTCTTTAAAATATAGCACAGAATCCCAATTTAAAATGTCATGTTCACCTGCATGGATAGGGCCCTCTGTTTGTGTCTTTCTGTTTACTTTTTTTTTTGTTTGTGGTTGGTACAGTTCCGGGTGCACACCAACCCAGTAGGTTGCAATAACGTAGCTCAAAGGATGCAAAGTGGATGCTAATAACCCATAGAAGAAGTTGACCATGAGCCCTGGAAAAGACTCACTGTTGATACAACATCTCTAAAAAAAAGCCTTTTAATGTGTCATGGAACACAACTACAGGATTATTTTAGCAGGGAATGTGGGTGTAATGTATTTATATCTGTAGTTAATGAATGGAAATAAGGCATAATGAAGAAACAGAACGGTGGAACACTGCACTTCTTCACCTGAACCAGTGGTCCTAATTGACTGTTAGCTCAGATGAGCGTCTTAGACCGTAAGGTGAACCACGAAAAGTCCTTTAGAAATTGCATTCCGCTCCGACGTCTGGGAACTACACGATCTCAACTTCATAAATAAAAACGAGTTTCGTTAAACTTACAGCAGTAAGTAAGTTCGTCGCAAAATATCCTGCCCGTTTTTTATATCGATGCATTTTATAAAGAACTAGCGTCTTCAGGGCGCAATACAATTTTGGTGCGCGAGCGGTGGCACGGTTCGACACGTGATCGTCCTAGACCAATCAAGTAGCTGATTGATGTCTACACTTCCGGCAACACGGCTGCTTCCATGGTTTTACTTAACGTTATCGATAGAGAGGAATTCTCCCAAAAGTCTTCTAAAGTGGGCCAAATGGATTCTAAACGGTGCTTTATACATAGCCGCCTGCACGAAGAACAATGAGGAAAATAGAAGATAAGGTGAACTTTGTATGTAAAGTCGTTTTGATCAATAAAAGGAAGTAATCACTGACAAGGACCATTTGTTTATTCATTCGTTCATTTATTCGTTCCTAACTAAATACTCCCACATCAGTGTCAGGGCTCTTAATGATGACAGATGACAGATGAAACGATTATCGTTTCATCTCTGCATGCTGCAAAACAGTATGCAGAGATGAAACGATAATCGGGTTCACCTTATGGCCTATCTGTTTGGAGTTGTATGACCTATGTCCGGGGGGGAATCACTGGTCTGAAAAATGTTAGAGTGATACTTGGAATCCACCACAGTGTATTCATTAAAAAAGAAAAAACAAGTCCAGTTGGTCATCATGAGTAAACGGTAGTTCAAAATTCAGACAGATTTTTGTAATCACATTAGTGAGGCAGGTCTACATGGAATGACTCATCCAGCTGTCAGCAGATATGTGCGTGCAGTGAATTAAAAAAAAAACATTGAGTATGATCCAAATGCTGGGGGAGGAAGTGTCAACTTATTTAGTTCTTGGAGAGGAAGTATGTAAGCTGTGTGTGTCTGATGTCGATCTAAGGGCATGTTTTTCGTTTTTTTCTTTTATCATGACTCAGAGTCACCAAAGGAATAAAAATAACACGCTGCTGTGCTACTCGCTGTAATGATCATTGGAGTCTGATTGTATCTGCCCACTGCAGAGAATACCACAGGACCTGAAGATGTATCTGGAGGACAAGGAGCTGGGCATAGATGAGAAGTGCACCATCTGTCTGTCAATGCTGGAGGA